AAATCATGTTCATATTGGTCACAACCCCAGCAAATCGTGCTAATAGATGCTCAGCAGGAATTCTTTGGTTGAGTGTGAATGTGAGTGTGAATGGGTGAATGTCTGTTAGTGTAAAGCGCTTTGGGGTCCGGAGGGACTTGAAAAGCGCTCTATAAGTTCAGTACCATTTACCATTAAAAGCTAGTGTAGAGGCCAAAACCTGCAAATGAAGCTGAAGTGTCATGATTACCAATGCAGTGATTAGTTAAAGTCACAGTGTCCCAGAGAAACCTCAATGGAGATAAAATGTTAGTCATTTCCAATTACTGCCTTAAATTTACCTAAGAAATATAAGTATCATTKTTGATACTTATCCCAGATCCAGAGAAAACCATGTCAGGATAAATAAATCTCCAAATTCGCAATCTTTGATTGCCTCGATTAATTATGAAGAWAAATATCCACAACACTAGAAGACAAACCAATAAATTTCAAAACAAATCACATAAAGTGGAAACAGACCTCAGATTTTTCCTATGGTTTAATAAAAATTTTCTCAGCTTTTTAACCGAATGGAAACGTCTCAAAATGTATTTAAAACATCCAGAGACGTCCCAAACGGGGATGACCAACAATTACTGTAGTATTTAATCAAAAATGGTGGTTTTATTGTTACTCTTTTTTGGCTTTTTGGATGATGATTCTATCTTCAGAATATTATCTCAGTACATTAACAATAACAACACAGTCGAGGTGTCTGTGTAACTGAGATACATTGGGCAAAAGGTTTAACAGACGATGGTTTTAAATGGAATCAAAAAGTGGTCAAACAAGTGTTGGGACATAAAACTGGCACGCTCTCTTCATTAACAAACTTGAAAATGAAAACGAGAAGTCCAAAATTAAAATATTTAGAGAATAAATCAGCAGAATATCGGTAGCTATGATGTGAACAGAACTGAAAATAACAGCGAGAGAGAAAATGTGCGAGAAAGAGAGAGAGAGTATAGTCGTGGTGAGATTGACAAGTTCCATAAACGAGCCAAGTGAGAAAAAGCAGAGGCATGAAAGTTGGGAGGGAGACGACAGAAACGACAGAATAAGTTTCTTTTTTAGAGGAAAGTGAACGAGTAAGCTTCATTCGTTCTGCCCAGCAGCATCAGGACCAAACTGAGGGCTGAGTATTTGTCCTCAGGTTCCCATTGAACTGCAACTCTTTGGGAACAACGGTGCTGTTTGTCAGTTTGTCAGAGAATACGGAGGGGTAGTGCTTYCTTCATGTGGCCATGTTGTGTAACTAGCATGCACCTCGCTAAAAGTACAGGTTTACCAGCTATAATGAGGGAAAATAATAAAAAAAATAGCAGAGATGTCACCATTAAGGGGAAATAACACCCTGGTTAATAGATAAACTAAATAAARGTGTGAAATACTGATTTGGTTTCCTTAAAAAGATCAGAAGAGAGAATCTGTCTTAATCCAGAGCAGAGCCCAACTCACCCAACCTCCAGTCAGAAATCAAAGTTAAAGCAGCCTCTACACTTCTTTAAACTTTCTCTGAGCTGTTTTTAGTTGAATTAAGTTTTGCTTCCTTTCCCTTGAAGCAGCAATTGAAGGATTAAATCTCTGCACCAGTGATGCCTTGGCCTGGAAAAAAAAACAACAACCTACCAGCTCTATTGGATTAAGACCACTATACCCTCAGGGAAACTGGAGGGACTTGAACTGTGAGACCAGAAGTGTGCAACCAAGTCAGCAGCAATCAAATCTTTAAACCGAGTCTTGTGGACAGCTCGGACCGAAAAGACTGGAAGTTTATGTGCTGACCAGCTGCCGCCCTGACCTTAAATGAAGCCAGCTGTGGCGCAAACGCACCGGCAAACAGAAGTTACTGACACCTGAAGACGTAGGAACAATTTATAAACAACTACCTGAGAGATGGTAAAATAAAGACGATAATAAAGGCTCATATTTGTGTTTGATTCTTTACGTCCTCCAACAAGTCCATCCACCGTCTGAATGGAATTTGCAGGTTTTCATTTTGAAAAAGACGTGTGAGGATGTTTGAGTGTGGTCAAATACTCCTTTACTCTACTTAAGTAGAATTTTTGGGGTATCTGTACTTTACTTGAGTAATTATCTTTCAGCCTACTTTTTACTTCTACTTCTTACGTTTTCTCACAATTATCTGTACTTTCTACTCCTTACATTTTTTAAAAAGGCAAGAAGTAGAAAGTTGTTACTTTATTTCATTTTCACTTGTTTTCATTCCAGCTTGTTATTGTAAAAAATAAATACTATCCATATTTGTACATCCTAGATAGAGTGAATTTAATTGTGGTTGAATGAGAAGTATAAATATATTAAATTCTGATACTGTATTAGTTTGTACACAAACGCTCCACTCCAGCAGGTCATAATCATTAAAATAAAAGTACTCTACTGAACAAGTATTTGTACTTCATGAATTATATTATTACATTTGGCCGCAGCCCTCAGACAGATTTTCATTTTGGGGAAAAGGTTTGGTCACCCTTGATATATGTATATAAACTGAAACAGCTGGACTAGTGCATCCTAAATTTAATATAAATTAAACGTTATTTAATACAACAGTCATTTCTATATTTTTGGGGGAGGTCACCTCGTAATAAAAGTCGTTACAGGAAATCTAAACGCTCATTTTAAATAAATACTTTTACTTTAAATACTTAGCTACAAAACTATCAGATACTTTAAGACTTTTACTCAAGTAATATTCCTAAAAGTGACTTTAACTTTTACCAAAGTAATTTTTGTAAGATACTTGTACTTTTACTCACGTATCACTTTGTGGTACTTTATACAACACTGTATATATATATAACTACAACAGAGAGGCAAAAGGCTCATCAGCATGCACCACATCACTGTGCCTCCCTGTGGATGACATAATGGGACCCTGTAGTTTTCTTCATTTGACTTACTAGGCCGGCTATCCTTCAGGAGATTCTCCTGGCTTAACTGGCACTGACTCTATGAGGGACACTATGCTTGTTCATTAAATATGCAAGTAAAACATTGTTTTACTGAGCACTTTTTAAGGTCACACAGAAACAGAGATATTTACTCTGATTGAATGCGTTCATAGTTTAAAGGAGACATATCACACTTTTAAATCCTTTTTTCACATTTAAATCATTCAGGGCTCTATATAAARTGGAACTGCAATGCTTTGGTTTGAATTCCTCCTTATTGCAACTCCACAAGCCCCTCTCTTACCCCTTGTCTCAGGTAAGTCGCACAACAATTTATTTTGAGGCTGTCTCTTTAAATCCAAACAAGGCGCTTCACACCGCGCTCCCTCCAGCTTCCAGACCAGTCCACTCTACTTTGATAGAGTTACATTTAGACCAGAGGAGCCCAAAGTGGGGCCCGCGGGCCAGATTTGGCCCGCCAAGCCATTTGAATTGGCCCACCAACAGTTACCAAAGTTACCAGGTTGTAACCTGTTATCCTATAGGTAGAAACACAGTATTTCCATTGGTCAAATGACTATATAAAAGGGCTGTAGTGAAGGTAGTTTTCAGTCATGGTGCTGACTTTATCTTTGATTTATTAGAATTAAACATGAAACATAAAATGACAACAAGAAATATTTAGGTCAGATTTAACAACGCAAGTAGATTTACACACTTTATAAGGCCACAAAAACTCATATTTTATCTATTTATGATATGTCCCATGAGCCTTTGCTACTTGAGCGTATGGCAGACTTTCTCCAAGTGCACAGACTAAAACAAAAGAGGGCCATTGCACAGCTTAATTGTTCAAAAATAAATGACTTTACTTAAAGTATTTGTATGTCATGTATTATATAACTGCATTTGGCCCGCAGCCATGGATAGATTTTCATTTTGGCCCCATCGGRGAAA